CTACATCTATCTGTGACCTAAAATGCTTGGTCCAAGTTAAACGGGCAATTCTCATCTGTTTTGTTTGATCTCATCTGTTGACATTTATTTTAATTGGGGATGTCAAACAACTAATTTTTAAATGAAATTAAACATAGGCTGTGAATTAATCACTATTTCCAAAAATGACTGAAAAATACCAAATAAAACAAAACTAAATGAATGCCATTCTCCTTGTGATGATGCCCTGGGCAACTGCCATAAAGTCACATCAAGAGATGCTGCTGATCATTCCAATGATCCCAAATAGACTCACATTAGGCCACATGAAAGCAACTGAACCCAAAAATATATTAACCCTTTGATGCATGAATTATGAAATCTTCACCCATGATTTTTTTAACAATTTTTTTCATTCATCTTTAGGTGTGAGTGAAACAAATTTCAACAAATATTTTTTGTAAAATTTTATAATTTACAAATAATTTATTACAGGTCCACCTTAGTGGACCACGTGCATTCTGAACATGAAATATGTTGGCTTGACTTACTGAAGTCCAAATGGAGGGGCTCAAATACAATAAAGTCTTCAACAGCTGTGCTTAATAGCAAAAACAAATAAATAACAATTTTGAGTACCTGTCCACTGTAGTGACCATCATGCACCAAAGGGTTAACCAGTATATAACTACACGCACACAACACGCCTGCAGCAACAGTTAGGACTCCTCCCTCCCTTTTAAAAGCATTTTCGCTTGTGAGGACACTGTGGTTGTAAAGCCACATGTTAGTAGTCTGGCCCCGGTGTGATCAACCAGTTTCTGCGGGAATGTGACGGCGGAACCGATTCGCAGCGGCACGAGTCGTCTTCCCCCCCCCCCCCCCCCCCCCCCCCCCCCCCCCGCCTATCTAATCGCGTCGCGCTTACAGTTTTATAGACTTTTTTTTACGAGCTTAGGGCATGTCTAGCCTGTGTAATAATCCGGGGCTTGGGTGAATCACTTTTGAAAAGTTTTTAACTTACCCGGACACAGAGCTCTCTCCTTCCTCGCTGATGATTCTGACATGCTTGCGTTTAAGACGCTGCATCATCACCGTAGTATCCCCGTGCCATGCTAAGTCTGACCTACAAACGTTGCATGTCTTCGCCTGATTTAACTGAAAATGCTCCCAAACTTTAGAAGTTTTTACTTTTTTGGGGTCTCGCTGCTTCTGCCATGTTCCTCTTACAGGGTGTCCGCGGGGTTTTAAAAAGTATTAAAAAGTGATAAATAAAAATAGTCAAATTTAAGGCCATTAAAAGTGTTAAATTTGGTCTCAGAGGTATTATTTTTTCCAAATTAGGTATTATTTTTTTCAGACTATCAGATGTCGTATTCTGAACATCGACATAGAATATATTCCGAATGAAATGTTTTGAACGATTATAAAAACAAAACAAGCCGATTATTTGCTCCTCCCACTTGCGCTGCCTTGAGTTGCAAATGAAGCGCTCCTCCCAGTGTTGCCAAGTTAACTTAGCGACTTTGTCGCTATTTCTAACAGCTTCTCAGACCCGCTTCTTGACTTTTTAAATCTTAAAAGTACCTAGCGAACACCTCAGAAACATCTCTGGTAACCCTTAGCTACTTTCTGGATAACTGTCGTCGACATTTCCTGCAGGTTAGCTAAACACTCCGTCTGCGCTCCGGACCGTTCTTCAGGACATTAGGAAAGGGAATGATGTAGTGATGTGTCGGTCGCTAAAGACAGCTCTCGGAGCCGGCTCCTTGTTGGAGTAACCAGAGTGAGTGACACACACCGTACCTGCGGGCTCCTGAGCCGCTAAAAACGGCTAAATGTGCGCGTGCGGCGCGCTAAACACACGTGCAGCGTGCCCGTGATTGCTGTGAGACCGGGTTGGGGGGTGCAGCTGTGGTTGGGGCAATTATTACATTAACTGATGAACTTGTAAATAAATAGTTTATAAATAAGGTAGAAATAAGTTCCTCACGCTGATAAATAACTAATCTCTCTGAGGACATGGTGCTAGTGCACGCTCCTACAGCACCTTGACATGACTCAATAAATGCTATGCAACATTTAATGAACAGCAATTTGCATGCATTTGTTATAAATGCCACTGTATAATTCTTGCTGTCAGTATTTGCAAGATATTGGTATTTGGTTCTGTTCTGGTTAGACTTAAATGAGTTAAACCAAGGTCTATAGCCCTTGGGTCATAGACTATGAGCTATAAGTATATTGGTCTTTTTATACTGGGAATCAGGAGTTATTTTAGTGATCATCTTGTTTCTTGTTTATTTTTGCCCTGATTGTGCCCTGAGCAGTTTTATGACTGAATAAAAATAAAAATCTACATAAATTGAAAAATCGTCTTACATAATCGAGATCTCAATTTCAGTCACAATAATCGTGATTATTGTTTTTGCCATAATCGAGCAGCCCTACTTTAGCATATCCAGTCACATAATGATGATGTCATATTCAGTGGTCATTGTGCATCATTTCAGGCCCCGTGGTCAACTGTCTGAACCGCTGAACAGAAGTGCCTGGCTTATTTTCTAAGTAAAATAAATATGTGCAATACGTTGTCAACATCAGTGAGTCTCTAAGTCTATTCTTTTTGTATGTTATATATGTTAAAATATTTGTAAATAGGTCGCTGATTAACACTTGCAATTTAGTGTTGTGATGGTTTTAAAAAAATTCTGAAGGTAGTAAAAAAAAGTATTAAAAAGTAGTAAATTTTACTTAAGGATTGCTGTATATACCCTGTCTTACAAACACCTGCCGGCTCTCCACCGGTCTGCGCGCAACGGCGGGCAGGAGGGGAGGGGGCTTTTGGAAGAGTTGCGCAACACAACGAATCGATGACGCAATTCGTTGCCAACGCTTTTAGTAATCGATTTTCATCGAATTTATCGATTCGTTGTTGCAGCCCTACTCCTGATGAAGGTCTCTGACCAAAAGCTTGATCATTAATTATTTTTTGCAGATAGATTGCAGATTTTTTTTCCTTATTACCTTCCGATACTTTTCAAATCACGTGCTCTGGCCCAATTTCCGATCACGCGATTGGATCATCCCTATTAGAAGCAGCTTGACGCTTGAACCAAAATATTTAAAAGATGGTGTTTGATGAAAATCAGTTGGTTCAGGTGGGAGCTGTTTGGCTGCTTACAGTTGTGGCTAATTATGTTGAGCAAATGTTCTGACCTTAAGGGAAACCCGCTGATCTGCTTGAGCTCCTGAACCAACTCCATCTGCTAAAGCAGCAGGATGTAGACCTTTAGGATCCCAGACAAGAGTCTATTTGGAGATTAGCTTTAAGCAGCATGCATGTATGTTTTTAAAGATGCGCTCCACCAGAAGATTTCAGCATAAATTATAGATTGCTTCTTTTTCTTTGGGGAGCAATGGGCTAAATGCAACAACGCTTAATAGATTTAAATAAATAAGGTATGAACATAGATCATGTATTTTTGTTTCTTTAATCATTTTCAAGTGATGAAATTTTCACGCATATAACTTTCTTTTTAATTGCTTATTCTTAAACAAGTTATATTAAACCATTGTGAGAATTTATATTTCATTGCTTTTTTGGGGGGGTTCTTTTGTCAAATTCTTGACTATTTTAGTTTAAATAAACCAGTTCTGGTTCCACTTTAATATGTTCTGCTTTCAAAAATCTTAAATAATCTATATTTACAACTACCAAAAGCACCAAAGAACATTAAAGATTGAAAAGTGATTTGCATCCTTATTTTTTTTACGTTCAAAATATTTTAACTCCCTAGCAAACAAGCAAACGTTTTTGTAATTTTAGAAATGTTCTTTAATTGAGTCATTTTACAAACATTAAAAATTGTGTCTCACCATTTTGATTCACACTTTAACAGAGCTTCTTTTTATTTTCAGTTTTTTGTCATGATTGCCTTTCTTACTCTTCTAGGGAAGAAGGCCAGAACAAAGGCTCCTAAGATCCAGAGACTGGTGACTCCTCGTGTGCTGCAGCACAAGCGCCGCCGCATTGCTCTGAAGAAACAGCGCACCCAGAAGAACAAGGAGGAGGCTTCGGAGTACGCCAAGCTGCTGGCCAAGAGGATGAAGGTATGTCGGATCCAACCTGTGATGTTTATTTTGCGGGACACAACCATTTAATAACTTGGTACTTTAGTGTTTGAGCTGGGGTTTAATATTTCTAAACGCTTGTTTCAGTTTAGACTGACTCTTCCTTTTGCCAACAGGAGGCCAAGGAGAAGCGCCAGGAACAAATCGCCAAGAGGCGCCGCCTCTCTTCCCTTAGAGCATCCACATCCAAGTCAGAGTCCAGCCAAAAGTGAAACACAGAAGTCAAATAAAGTCATGTTTTGCTGAAAAACCTAATGTGTGAATTAAATGCATTTCATTGTTTACCTGGTAAGGTGGTGGTCCTCCTACACTTATCCCTGGATCCTCAGGTCTGCGAGCATGCATTCAAATGCATCTCCTCAGGTTAATCTAATTAGCCCCATGGGTAAATATTTAAGTCTGATTTCATCCCATGTAAACCCCAAACCAGTTGATTCTGGCATTAGAACGACAAAGGCCAAACTAAGTGAAGCCAGCCATATAAAGGCCATATCAGCATCAGTATTCCCATCAAGGCTGAGTGAGGATTATGCCCGCTTAGAATTAAGAGACCTGGTTAAGCCTAAATTATGCAGTTGTCCCTAGACAATGTTTAAGCTGAAAAATGCTTTTGAACCAAAATTCAGTTTGAGTTTGCTTTTACTAAATGTGTTTGCATTTGTTAATATGAAGCTGTAGAATTTAATGAAATTTAACCAGACATTAAGCAACTAGAAGTGTAGAAAATAAGTCTGGGGACAAACCATTACACATGCAAAATTGCACAATTCTGATGTCCCTCTGGAATGAAAAGTATTTTGAAGAGATTAGTTGGACAACTACACCGGTGTGTGTCCCATAGATGCCGATTTGTCAGAACAGCCACCTGACCAAGGAGGAAAGTAAAGTTCACGTAGCTTCAGAATTTTATTTTACATTAGTTTCCAAAAATATTCATTTTATAGCCCAGCATCAGTTGCAATTTCCCCTCACACATCCCTTAACATTACAGCCGTTCTCTAGTGGTGCCGTCCTGGCGGGCCTCATTCGGAAGGTGGGCATGTTCTGTAGGCGACCCAGCTCCTTCGTGGGAAAAGCTTCAGCAGCGCCACGTCGGCGTGGACCTTGAGACCGTCTCCCTTGTGACTGAAAGCCCAAGTTGTACAAGTGGGCAATGAAGACAAACATGGAACCCGCCTGATGCTGCAGGTACTGAGGCAGTCCCTGAATGCTCAGAGCCAGGGTCCAACAGCTGGTGTGAAGGTCCTGGACCAGATGGGTAGACCTGGATAAACTTTCTCTCAGCTGCCGAGTCAATGAGAAAATGTGTCAGCCAATGAAGACAAACATTTTAAGTGTGAAAGATAAGTTATTTGTAGAAGTGGCTCCTAATGCAGAATCAGACCAGGTGTTTTGAAGTGTACTCACCTGAAATGATGGGATTTTAGAGCCAACTGCATAGTAGGTCCTCCGACACAGTTTCCCAGTGAGGTTGCTCATTCTCACAGAATAACTTCTACCATGAGTGGCCGTCTCAAAACCCTCTACCAAGTGGGCTTGTTTCTCTGGTGAGAAAGACGAGCATTAGGAAAAGATTTAACATTCACATCAAACACTTATTCAGCGTACCTTCATCCTCCGTTTGGGGTAGGACATGATCCATCAGAGCCTCTGACAGGGTCAGAGCTGAGTCCAGACCCACAGCGGCTACACCGATGGCTCTGTCCACCAGTGATAGGCCATCATCCGCCAGAAGCACCCTGCCCTTCACCCACGTCACTGTGTGCTGAACGCAATCAATAGTTCCACTGGCTGCAATGCTCACCACATCCTGAATCTCAATTATCTTGTTCTTGGCAGTGACGACAACCTGTGTGAACAAGTCAAAACTAACTTTTTTACTCACCTCAATAATGATGAGACTATTGGAATTAAATAGGAAAGGGGATAATACCTCTTCTGTGGGCGACAGCAGCACCGGAAAAGAGGTTTCCAGCCAGTCGAGACCTTTGCACGCGACACTATTTGCGATGGAAACTGCAAATAGAAAAGTTTCATGAAAAACTTAATGTGCCCCATTCCATCCAACCCTAATATATGTACAAAAAAGTCAATTCTGGATTATGAACCAGTCTTTCAACAGAAATAAGCTGAATTGGCTTTGAATGGTGAATTAACAATTCTGCTAATTAAATTAAATTTTTTTATTAATAATTTTTTACTACTACTTTTATTACTAATGAAATTTAATTAATGCTAATTAAACAATTCTGATACGAATTCAAATTTTTTAAAAATGTGAGAATACAAAAAAAAACCTTACAAGCATTTAAAGAGAACATTATTAAAATAACTACAATCATTTCCATAGGAAACCACAGCAGGACTTACTCTGGGGCTCCAGTTTTCCAAGGGCAGGTGAGATTCGGGTGTAGGCCGCGGTGCTTAAGGCGGTCATTCTGCTTTCCAGCGCTTCACACAAGAACTTCAGGTTGGAATGGTTACATTTAGTACCTTTATACAGGTCTGACAGCGTGGAACAAGCTGAACGAACCACGGGCAGCTTTGTAATCCTGTCTATTGCACTAGGAGCCACTTTCTGAAACAATACAAACAAAACAAAAATAAAAAGCGGATATAATTGTTGAAAGTTTTAGCATCAAATTTCAAAACCACTTAAATACAAAAACAGGACAAATTGGCGAACACAATCTGTAATGGCCTATTGTCCACCCACCTGGTTATTGTTGTTTGAGGGCATTTTCCCACAAACTGGTGCTAAAACGAGTAAAACTCGAGTTTCTTGTGATCACCTGACGTGATTGAGAAAAGGTTCAAAGAAATGCTCGACTCATCATTTATAATCCCGAACCATGAAGGAGAACCGGCTAAAATAGAAATGGGATGTTTATCAATTAGTGCTCACCTGTTGTGATCACTGCGAGATTTCCCGAGCTCTTCGCCAAGTATCGCGATATGTCACCCCGGAAGCCTTAAACCATCTTCATATTTTGTCAACTTGACAGTTTATTAGAGCCCAGTTTGACCTTTATTCAAACCCTGTCTGTAAACATAGATGGTCTTATTTAAGAAGATGGCAATGGAATAAAAAAAAAATTATTACCTTACCCAGTTAAAAATTATATTGTCGTTTTCTTCCCTATGAATGCAATAAGTGTTCGTTTTGTCAGAAAGATGGATCTTTTTGTGGATTGTTCTGTTTATGAATAAAATGCAGTCCTACCTCACAAGGATGTTTAGCCAAAATGTTTCCTTATCTAAACATATGATTTTATTCATGTTTAATGATCCAAACTTTCACTCTGATGAAGTATATATAAGTAATCTTATTATAATTTTGGCAAAATACTAAATTCATAAGAAAAAATGGTCTGGAAAAATACCCCTTTTAGATCATTTTAAAGAAACTGATCTTAAACTCTATCTGGCCTCCATAGAAAAATTACAAATGGGCAATAAGAAGTTAACAAAAATGATTAGACTATTAAAATCCTTTAGTTTTATCACTTCTAGTTAAGCAGATCCCCCTTTTCTCTTTTCTTTGTTTCCTATATGGTTGAGTGTCGTGTTGATCACTGAGACATCATTGTACTAAACAGTGACTTTACAGACTGTTGTTCAAGCACTTGCTGAAATATTTTCTTTTTTACATTTCCAACACCAAATAAACAAGTACATTTTTTTCCAAATGCATTCATTACTAATAAAATATGGTACAATACAATAAGTCACGTCAAATATTCATTATTCCGGACACAGTCCAATTTACAGAAGTAGAAAAAAAAACATTGTACAGATAAGATAAAATGAAATGAGCACGAGAGACAAATAATCATGAAAAACAAAACCAAGAGACAATAATTACAGTAGTGTGAAAATAATATGTTATGTTGCATTATTTATAAGGACTCAGTCAGTCTACTGGTGATTCTTTTGAGCGGAGCGCTGATTGTTGATGAGCTCCGCAGGCAGCTATGTCCTGTGCACGGCACATTCTTAAAGAGGTGCAAACAAAAGAAAATTAACATACAATTGTTCATGTCTGCTCATATTCTCTGGTATTTTCTGTCTCTGATTCACGCTTGACCTTCTCCGCTGCCGAGGAGTTAATCACCCGTGCTCTGGTGATTTGACCTCACTGGCGTAGCTCTAAGCCAAAAAAACCCCCCAAAAGATCCTAACATGGCTTGTGTGGCGTCGCCATAGTGTGACATTATTGGCATGCACAGATCTCCCATCCTCTTTTATGGAAATGGAGCAGTGGTCATCCTAGATTATACATTTATGGATCTGATTGCAGAATATTAATCAACTCAGAAATCATTTATTATAATATTCTTGTTTCTTAAATTGGCTTCATTTGACTAAATCAAATGTTAAATGTTTACAAGATTTTCTACCAGGATGTTCTCTGGTAAACACGGACGTGATGTGTTTAGATCTTTGTCCTAAGTTAGTGTCTGAGTCGGCCAAGTTGACCAAAACTTTATCAGAACTAGGAAACATTGATGAGCACGTCTCTCAGCCGTTACAGATTACATTAAACTTTGGCCGCTCTGTTGATTATTAGCTGGGTGGTTTGGAGCTAGTGGGGATCCATTCATGACTGGATGATAAAAGAGGAAATCCCTGCTTCCCCTCTTGAAGTGAGGACAGAGGGGCCTCTTGGACATGACTGTGTAGAGAAAACCGTTACAATGACGACATGGTCAGAGGTCAAAGATGCTGCTGAACCTCAACACCATCAGTTCCACTTCTCACTCATGTTGTTTTTTCCTCTGGGACCTCCATGACCTCTGCGCCTGAAGCCCGGATCTCCCCCCTGACCCCGGCCTCCTTGGTGAACCGACAGGTGTCGAGGCATCTTAAATGCCTGCTTGTTGCTGTTGACACTGACTGTTAATGAAATGGGTATGTGAGTGGCAGGTGTGATGGGTGGGTTGGGATTCAGCGAGCCACCCTGACCTCATGACTTACCCCTCTCCGCTTCATCCATTTCAAAGGTGTTCAGCTGCCCAGTGAACACTCTTCTTCTTGTTCATGCCTCCTTCCTCTGCCCGTGATTCTTTGGGATTAACATCTACACCACCAGCGGCATCCATGAGCCCCAGGCCCTTTCCCAGCTGTGGTGAGAACAGAACAGAAACTGCCAGCTTATCTGGCTTCAGGTTGTTCCACCTGTTCAGGTTGGTCAGAACTGACTGATGCTGGAATGATCTTTTAAATAAACTCTGATGGGTTGTTGGTTTTCTTTGTAGGTGGAGCCTCCGACTCGGGACCAGTGCTGCTGGAGGACAACAGAGGATCTCTTCAGATCATAGTTGACCACACGGGGCAGCAATGAGTCAACAGGAGTTTCACAGCAGCAGGTGGCGCTGTGTTTACAGGGAAACGGGTTCTAACCTGGGCTGGGCCTCTTGAAGAAAGAGGGTGGAATCTTGTTATTGATACCTAGCAGAGGGGCGGAAGGGGGTCGTTGCAGGAGGAGCTGGGTTGAGAGCCTTCATTTCCAGTCCTACAGAACCAGAACCACCCAAACACGAGTTTAGAACCTGGGGAAAATACTCAGAGCAGCTGCAGCAGAACTCATCAGGTGTACTGGACCAGTAGATTGCATTTTTGTGAAGCTAGGGGCGTGAGCTTTGGCATGCTTTACTCCAATTTTCTCCTCCACATCCATAGTCAGCACTTTACTCTCCTCTTTCTTGATCTTGTCTGTAGAACAAACCGAAGTGATGAGCGTGGTGCCGGTCAGCAGTTCAGTCTAAATGTAAATAGAATGTGAAGTGGTACCAGCAATAGAGCTGCTGGAGACTCTCTGAGAGCAGATAGCTTTCCAACATGGTTCTGTGGGAAACAGAAGTATTAAAATTGGTTGAAAAACAATGTATCTACCCAGGGGGGCTGCCAGAGATTTTGGGCCCCATGAAAAAGTATCAAGTTGGGCCCCCTGGGGGCTCGTCCATAGCTGGAGCTGGGGTTTCACCCTCCCAGATTCGAAGGGAGAAAAAATGTAATATATATACTTTATATTAGTGTTTCAGTTTTGTTTATTTATGTAGGTCTACATGCATTCTTACTTATTTACATATCATTTTCACCAGCTGTCTCTCATTAAATAGTGAATTTCCTTCAACAGAATTAGTAATATCACTGCTGGAAAAAGCAGGAAATGCACATGCTGAAAGGTGTTAATCTCCTTTTCCCTATTACTCCCTTAAAGTGTGTTTATTTATTCTAAAATTTTATTTGATGATAAAATTCAAATTTGGATATCTATTTAAATTTCCATGTTGTGTCAAAGCTTTACATAACTACATTTTCAGCTGTCTTTCCTCTTGAAATCAAGTATTTCTGTATGACTGACAAAAATTAAGGATTCACTGCTCACAAGGTGACTTCTATATTAAGTCTCCACGGCTTCATCATAGACACAAAATGAATAAGCACACAGTTCAAACAGTCAGTTAGGGTTACATAAAATTTTAAAGTTGGACAACTTTGAATGAATACGTATATACTTTGTCCTGACCAATCCTGACATTGGGAGGGTCCAGGTTCTGTACATAATGAAATTGATATGTGTTACAATATAGGCCATCATTTGTGACAAAATCTTTATCCAAGTTACAACAGTCTTTAAAATTAATGCACAACAGGGAAAATGCAGCACAGACTCCTGCAGGATATTAGCTGTAGTTCTCCATAATCAATACTAGATTTCATATTTTATTGTGTTCAATGTTATATAAAGTTTATTTATTACAATTATTAATAGCTTTTGTTTCAGTTTTGCTCTCTGATGAATTATTTGGAAATGACTGATTTTTGGTTTGTGTTCTAAAAGCTACATAAACAAATTACATCTTGTAAAACCTCCCATAATTCAGTCAGATTTGAAACATTTCATTTCAAGGTGTTAAGCAGATGAAGAGGGTTTTTTTCTTGTATGGTGCCTTCAAAAAGGTGCTTCTCAGTAATAATCTCACAGTAATTTATGTTACATTAACAGACTAAATAGCAATGCTTCAACCTGTCCAGTGTGGAAAAACAATGTGTTTATGACCAAAAATTGCCTTTTCATATTCCTTTGTAATAGTACTGATAGAGAAGAGAGCCTTAAGTGATTCCCACAGACCCCCTTAAATGAGGCTGCTAGCTAACATGCTACATTGCTCACCTTCTTGAGGTTCATTGGGTTGTGAGGGGACACCTGCTGACATATCATCAGCTGCTGATTCTGGTAGGGACAAGGACAACAACCCATTTACCATAATTAGATGAAACATAGTTCCTCTCACTGTTGATATCAGAGCTAGCAAACAGGTTGAATTTAACCACTCACTAACTAAACCCACCTTTCTTTGAGAAAAACTGTGACATACTGACGCCCTCTCTTCTGCCTGTCCTCTTTCTCCTTTCTTTCTTTCTTTCTTTCTTTCTTTCTTTCTTTCTTTCTTTCTTTCTTTCTTTCTTTCTTTCTTTCTTTCTTTCTTTCTTTCTTTCTTTCTTTCTTTCTTTCTTTCTTTCTTTCTTTCTTTCTTTCTTTCTTTCTTTCTTTCCTCTTCTGTCACCCAGACTGCACATATTTTTTACTGCAGCCTCTTACTACTGCGCATTGTGCTGTCTGACTGCTGCGTGAGCTGGCCTTGCCTGCTACGCGCCACTCGGCCATGTGGACTGTACCATTTTATGCCGTTAGGAGGGGTGGGGGTGGGGGGGTTCAAATTGATTAGTCAAAATAAAGTAGGGACCGCTGAATAAATATACATTTCATAAAGACTAAAAGATTGTTTGTTTAATGTCTTAAATGAGAAAAAAATACTGCAAAGTAAAGTACTTGTGATTTCTAAACTTTGTTTTTTTTTATTCAACTTTGAAATTTTTGGGGCCCCTGACAGCTGTGGGCCCTTAGAATCTTCCTAATCTTTCACAGCTTTATGGCGCCCCTCTATCTACCTGGTGAAACAGGAGGGGTGTCATGTGCCGGGGTGAGTACTCCTCTCATTTTCCCATCTTTGAGTTGTGTGTTTCAGGGGAGGGAGGCTCCATCTGCAGCTGATTTGCAATCTGCGGGTCTGGCTTCAAAAGGAGAATGGAGAACACTCCTCGACGCCGGATGATTACTACAGCTTGGTAGTTTCCTGCCCTCTTGCGACTCTTGGATTTTGTGCTCTAGTGTTTCTAGGATTTTTTGTGAACCTTTGGATCTTTTCCCTGTGCTTACCTGTTACCAGGTTTTAGAACATTTTTGGACTTCTGTGACTTCTCTGGATTACGTCTTTGGGATTTCTGCGACTCCTCCGGATTACTCACCTGTGCCCCATAGGATTTCCTGACGCAGCTCTCACCGTTCTCCATTCCTCCCGGCCGGCCCGCTCTCCTCTCGCTCCCTCTCCTGGACACCCCACTTGGATTCACCCCGGCACCCAACCTACCCTCCCTCATTCCTACGCTCCCCTACTCCCAACGCTGCGCTGCCGTTCTCGATCTCCACTGGGCTTTTCCAGTGCACCTTCAGTTCCCGTTTTTAAAATAAAGATTCTTTTTTTTACCATAAGATCTGTGAGTGTGTGATTCTGCATGTCTTGGATTAAATGCACTCCCCAAACCGTGTCAGTCGTGTGCTGGCAGATAGCTGAATAAGAATAAAAAAGTCACTTCATGTCAACTGTGAATTTCATGCATAAAGAGGGATTTTTTTGGATGGAGTAGGAGGAACCTGCACAACTCTTGTTACTCTTTCTTAGAAAGGAAAACAAATTTTCTTTTAACTTCTATTCAAGTTCGATATTCTTTCTTTTTACTTTATTTTGTTCTAAATGTTACGTACAAGTTTATCTTTTATTTCGCTAAATGTAAGAGATCTTAGGGACTATGTTAAAAGAAAAGCAATGTTTCTGTTCCGTAAAGGGCTTAAAGCTCACTGCACCTTCAAGTGATGCTGATTCCACCTTCTGGTCAAACCAGTGGGGTAAAAACATCTTGTTCAGCCATGGAGCTCATCACTCTGCTGGTGTAGCTCTTTGCTTTCAGGTCCAGAGAAGGTTGTGACTTTTCAGGCAGATGATCCGGGTCATTGGCTGGCAGGCATATTGAATGTTGATGAATCATTTGTTGACCCCATTCCGACTAAGCTGCTCCAAGCTATTGCTCCTACAGTAGCCGCAGCAGTCACACATGTGATCAACGCTTCACTGACATCCGATACATTTCCCATCTCTCTCAAGCATGCTCAGGTTAAACTGCTGCTTAAAAAACCATCTCTTCCTCCAAATCATGTGGAGAACCACCGACCTATCTCTCTCCCCCTTTTTCTGTTCAAAATCATTGAAAGGGTGGCTTTCAAGCAGATCACAGAATACCTCTTACAAAACTGTCTGCTTGACCCTTACCAATCTGGGTTCAAAAAGGGCCACTCCACTGAAACTGCTCTGTTAGCAGTGACTGAATCCTTAAAAGAAGCTAGAGCGACTGCCAAATCCTCAGTGCTTATCCTGCTCGACTTATCGACTGCATTCGACACTGTCAACCATGGCTTCCTTTTGTCCACACTCTCTAGCATGGGCATCACAGAGAAAGCACACGCCTGGTTTGAATCGTACCTCACAGGACGATCATTCAGTGTATCTTGGCTAGGACAATCCTCTACCGTGCACCATCTTGCCACAGGAGTCCCCCAGGGCTCTGTACTAGGACCTCTTCTCTTTGCCATATACACCACCTCACTGGGTGAGATCGCTCGATCACATGGCTTCTCCTACCACTGCTATGCAGACGACACCCAGCTCTATCTGTCATTTCCACCGGACGACCACACTATCTCAGCACGAATATCAAACTGTCTCTCTGACATATCAAAATGGATGAAATCCCACCATCTCCAACTCAACCTCTCTAAAACTGAACTGCTTGTCATCCCAGCAAAACCATCCATGCAGCACAATATCTCGATCCAAAATGACTTCCTATCTCTGGCTCCTTGAAAGGCAGTTCGAAATCTGGGTGTTGTGATTGATGAACACCTGACCTTTAAAGATCATGTTTTCTCTGTTGCCCGTTCATGCTGCTTTGCGCTGTATAACATACGAAAGATCAGACCATACCTGACACAACATGCCACCCAGCTCATGGTGCAATCTACTGTCATCTCTCGCCTCGATTACTGCAACGCCCTTCTAACTGGTCTTGCAGCCTGTACTGTGAGACCTCTTCAAATGGTCCAGAATGCAGCGGCGCGTCTGTCCTTCAATCAGCCAAAAAGAGCACATATCACCCCTCTGTTCATTGAGCTCCACTGGCTACCACTAGCAGCACAGGCATCAAATTCAAATTGCTAACACTAGCATACAAAGTCTGAGATGGTACGGCTCCCATCTACCTGAATCCTCTTGCAAAGGCTTACGTCTCGGCCCGGCCGCTCCAGTCATCACAGGATCGTCGGCTAGCAGTGCCTACACCACGCTCAGGACAATCCAGACTCTTCTGATGCATCGTTCCACAAATGTGGAATGACCTACCAAGCACTACCAGAACAGCGGCTTCCTTTTCAATTTTCAAGAAACTCCTGAAGACCCTGCTCTTCAGATAGCATCTTCTTAACTAGCACCCTCCCTGCACCCGTCCCCCCTCTCTACCGTCCACTCCTTTGTTCCCTCCTCTCCATGATTGATGTCAAGTTGTTGTTGTTGTTGTTGTTAGCCTCAAGGGCAACATGCCGATTATCACTTGTAAGTCGCTTTGGACAAAAGCGTCTGCTAAATACATAAACATAAACAACATAAACATTTGTGATATTAGTTAACATTTATGGGTATGCTTCTATAGCTCAAAGTAAACTCATGCTGGAAAAAATAACTGATATATTGTCTGGGTATAAACTATCGTATAACACTGACCATGTTATTAGGTGGTGACTATAATCTTGTTCCAAATGAATGACAGGATAGATTTCCCCCTAGAAATAATATTAACTAGTGGAATCATATACTTAGAGTTCATTGATTCCAATAATTTAAGTGATATATGGAGGGAAAAACCCTGGTGTTACTTAATTCTCATGGATCAAGCCTAATGGTAACAATAGATTAGATCTGTGGTTAGGTTGAACTTTATTATGCAGTCATGTTTCACATACTTCTATCTCAGCTACACCTTTAACAGATCACAGTATCATTATTCTAAAATTAAACCCTGAAAATAAGACGCTGTTTAGAAAATATGATTGGAAACTCAATGCATATCTTTTAACAGATGATGGACATGTTAATATAGTCAAAGAACTCTTCTGTAAAATTTGCAGTGATGAAACAATTGGCAACCACATGAGTAGATGGGAATGTTTTTAATTTAAGGTCAGAGAATTTTCTATTACATTTGGCAAAATGAAAAGTAAACAACTAAAGGATTTTGAAAGAAATTTAATTCAAAATATTAATAATTATTGCAAAAAACAGGCAATGACAGATTCTGATAAAGAATCCCTCCAATCTTTACAAACTCAGACTATTTATATAGAACGAAAGCTCATGGAGCATACGTTAGGGCTTGTGCAAAGTGGATAGAAGAGGGTGAAAAGAGTACTTCATATTTCTACAATTTGGAAAAACGAAGGCAAGAACAAGAATCTATAAATATGTTACTTGTAAATGAGAATGAATGCACAGATTGTAAGGTTATATCGGAGGAAGTATATAATTTTTAATCGAAACTATACTCCTCAGCTGATCACTGATTAAGTAGGGGTTTTCGACCGGACTGAGCCTCATATTCCAAAAATTGATGTAGTGCGTAAAATGACCCTTCACAAGGTTAGTGAAGGGCAAACTGAGACCTCCACTACTCTCTATGGCCAGAATACTGCATTTGCAACTTCAGAGTGCCGGTCAAGTTTGTTGGACAAAAATGGAGCTGACATACTAGGCCCTGTAGTCTGGTTCCAGCACATTTCCTGTTATAGATAATGAACACAGCTGATTTGTTTTATTTAATTATCACTCCTGTAGACACTAATGAAGGCTGGGGAGATGTTTCAGCTGTTAGATTAAGGTGTTAAAAAGACAAACGCTAAGCAAAGAGATACGTTTCTATTAAATGGACACTAGGAGGTGCTAAAACCAAGCCAAAACTGCCTAGTCCCCCTTTAAAACCGGATTATGTCTTAAAAGTCAGCAATTCAATACATTACACAGGTTGCATTCCCTCTGTTGTTAAGCTTTGTGGTTTCTGGCATTAGTTCTACATCAGGTTCTTGACAAATTTTTTTAATCAAGAACACATCATGGTTAATTCCTCAGATAAAATGTTTGTATTTACCTCAGGAGTTCCTCTGCAGCTATAGGAAAAATAAAGACTTCCATGCACGTGAGGTCATAAATAAATAACCAGGAACCTAGGACGACCTCTTTGTGCAGACAAAACTATCTGCATCTGCATGAAGATGTGCCAGAGAGCGATTTGAATAACAACAGTGTCTCCTGCAGGTGCTCCACGCTCAGAATCACGCGGTTGGGTCTGTGGTGCTGATGCTGCTGTCGTGGTTCGGACTGCAGCTGCAGCATCCCGCCTCCCTCCTGCACACAACGTGCTCAGAAACATCATCTTTCTCTGTAAACCGGCTTGCGTCAGCAGAGGAGGCGCAGCCCCGACGCCTCATAAGGTTTGGGGACCGCCGTCCCCCGCAAGAAAATCCGACACAGCAAGAGAAGGCACGTGCAGTGGGTGGTCTTGGGCAGGCGCGTTTCACGTGGCTCTGGCAAGCCTCCACCGCGTCCATCAGTCCGGTGCGACAGCAGCTGGAGACGAGATCATGGCTGTGGAGCTGGAACCCGCGGAGTAAGTGACCTTCACCTTTTAAATAAAATCGTTTTTCGCATTAAAAATTAATAGAGAGAGATTGTTGTGTGCGCAAAAGTCACGATAGATTTTTTTTTACAAACTCAGTCATTTTTCATGTTTGTTTGCATCTGAACGAAACACGTTTTCCTTTTCTTGCATTTGTTTAGTTTACATGTCGAGCTGCTATAAGTTATTTCATCTTCAAATGTTTAAACCTTTTCTTTCTGAAGCAGCCTTGCGGTTACGGTGGACAATAAATGGTTACTGGCTGCACAGAGACAATTCATCTCCCTGATTAAATGGGAGAGACGCTCCTGGGGAGGTTTTACTGGCATCGCATCCACATTTTATCCACTTGCTCCTGTTGATCTCATCGCTGCCCTTTATTCTCTTTTGCTCATCTGCAAATAAACACAGGGCCAAAGCTGTGAGTTAAGTAAATAATATGACACTTAGATGTGTGCACTGAGAGGAAGACGTGATGCAATTTAACTGTTAATTAGATTTTTCATTCATGCTAGAGATGAATATTCGGTCTTAAAATAAGCAGGGCAAAAGTAAAACTAACTCTGACTGCTCACAACTTTTTTATTGGTCGTCTGTCTCCTTGAACCCTTCTCCAGCTCTGGATGGAAGTGATTTTTTTTCTCCAGCCTAGCAAATATTTAAAGTATTTAGTCAGCCACCAATTGTGTAAGCGCTCCCACCTAAAAGATGAGAGAAGCCTGTAATTTTAGCAGACCTCAACTATGAGAGACAAAAATCACATTGTTTGACTCTAAAATAATTTATTTGCAGATTATGGTGGAAAATAATATTTGGTCTCCCACAAACAAGCAGTATTTTTGTCTCTCACAGACCTGTAACTTCTTCTCTGTCCTCCACTCGTTACCTTTAGTAATGACACCTGTTGGAACTCGTTACCCGTATAAAATACATCTGTCCACAACCGCAAACAGTCACACTCCCAAATTCCACCATGGCCAAGAACAAAGAGCTGCCAAAGGACACCAGAAACAAAAGTGTAGATCTACACCAGTCTGGAAAAACAGAATCTGCAACAGGTAAGCAGCTTGATGTGAAGAAATCAGCGGTGGCAGCAGTTATTAGAAAGTGGAAGACGTACAAGACCGCTGATAATCTCCCTCCATCAGGGGCTCCAGTGGGGTCAAAATGATCACAAGAACGGTGAATAAAAATCCCAGAACTACACGGGGGACCTAGTGAATGACCTGCAGAGAGCTGGGACCAAAAGTAACACACTACACCACAAGGGGTTCAAATCCTGCAGTGCCAGATGTGTCCCCCTGTTTAAGCCGGTACATGAGCAGGCCCCTCTGAAGTTTTCTAGAGAGAATTTGGATGATCCAGAAGAGAGACTGTCAAATGGTCAGATGAAACCAAAATAGAACTTTTTAGTAAAACTCAACTCATCATGTTTGGAGGAGAAAGAATGCCCAGTTGTAGCCAAAGCTCACCAAACCTACTGTAAAGCATGGGGGTGGAAACATCATGTTTTGGAGCTGTTTTTCTGCAAAGGGACCAGGACGACAGGATCCAATGTAAAGGAAAGATTGGATGGGACCATGTATTCACAGATTTTGAGTGCAAACCTCCTTCCATCAGCAAGGGCATCGAAGATGGAACATGGCTGAGTCTTTCAACATGACAATAATACCAAACACACCGCCTGGGTATTGAAGGAGTGGCTTCATCAGAAGCATTTCAAGGTTCTGGCATGACCTAGCCAGTCTTCAGATCTCAACCCCATAGAAAATCTTTGGAGGGAGTTGAAAGTCCATGTTGCCTAGCGACAGCCCCAAAACATCACTGCTCTAGATGAGATCTGCATGGAGGAATGGGCCAAAATAAGCACAACAGTGTGTGAAAACCTTGTGAAGACTTACAGAAAACATTAGACATCTGTCATTGCCAACAAAGGGTTTGGAACAAAGTGTTGAGATGGACTTTTGTTATTGACCAAATACTTATTTTCCACCATAATTTGCAAAAATTGTTTAAAAATCCGACAATATGATTGTCTGGATTTTTTTCTTATTTTGTCTCTCATAGTTGAGGTATACCTGTGATGAAAATTACAGACCTCATCTTTTTAAGTGGGACAACTTGCACAATTGGAGGCTGACGAAAAACTTTTTTGCACCATTGTATTTCAAAGATGCGACGATTCAATCTGTTTCAGCGTGTGAATAAATTAGAAAAGAAGGCAGAGTTTCTGTTTTCCTGTCAACCTGTGATGTACAGTTGCCTCCTTCTGTCTCCCGGTAGCGTGCTCCGCCTGATAATGCAGTACCTGAAGGAGAACAACCTCTACCGCACGCTGACCACCTTACAGGAGGAAACCACTGTCACACTCCACACAGTAGAGAGCATCGAAAGTTTCATCGAGGACATAAACAGAGGCCACTGGGACTCTGTTCTGCTCGCCATCGAGTCCCTGAAGTTACCCGATAACACGCTAATCGACCTCTATGAGCAGGTGAGTCTCGGTTTGTCTAAACGCAGGCGCCCTCTTGAGCTCGAGTCAGTGGTCTTTGGTGTCTTCAACAGGTTGTGATGGAGCTGATAGAAATGCGGGAGGTGGGCGCTGCTCGTTCTCTCCTCAAACGAACTGACCCAATGATTATGCTGAAGCAGACCCAGCTGCAGAGGTACACCCACTTGGAGAATTTGCTCACCAACTCAAACTTTGACCCTCGAGAGGTGAGGAAACAGTTTATGCAGTGAAACGAGGACCTTTAACAGAGAGAGCTTCACAGCTTCCTTCACTCTGCAGGCGTACCCAAAAGGGAGCAGCAAGGAGAAACGGCGCAGAGCTATAGCCGAGGCTTTGGTGAGGGAGGTCAGCGTGGTTCCACCCTCACGCCTCATTGGACTCCTGGGACAAGTCAATGTGAGTAAACGGCTCATTCTAACCACAGATCAAGGGATTAAAACACCACGCTTTCTTATTCCTGTTTTCACTTTCTCTTCAATAGTTAATTAAACGTCCAAAAATCTACAGTGAACTACTCACAACAGTCTAAAGCCTCGATCATGTAAGAAGGAAGGTTACATTAAAGGAGATTTCCTTCTCACCTGGCTGGGAGTTGTCAGTTTTTCTCCTTTCAAAAAGACAGAAGAGGGACATAGTTTACAATCTGTCCCACCTCCACATTTCCTGGTTCCAGAGCCAATCATATTTGAGCTTTCGGGTTGCCAAGTTTGCATCAGCATTTCTGTATTTATTTATTTATTTATTTATTTATTTATTTTCTACCCCTCCCCTCGGGTATCTTCCCTGAGACGTGTCTTCTCGTCTGTCGCACCCGGAAACCCAGATTGTTGGAGGAAATGAGAAGGTGCTAAACACCAATCGCCATTTTCCAGGTCAAACGGTTTTTGTTGTCCACAACTTCAAATGGCGTTTTTCATTTTGGGACTCTGGTAGTTTGTCCTGAAGTTGAAGCCGGCTGTTTCTCCTTCTTTGAGATTACTGAACCACAAACCTCTCACACCAGTGGTCTTCTGTTGCTAAATATGTGAGTGTGTAATGGGTGGAGGACCCAGGATCAACCAGATAGTCCAATAGTTGCTTTTGGTCTGGAACATGACATTGGTGGGGGCTTTTAGACAAAACTACATTTATTTATTTATCTTTTAAAAATTAATCTATATTTATAGCTATGTTAGAAGACTATGAGGCATGAAACATGTTTTAAGCTAATTTGTTTACCATATTTGCAATTGCAGCTTTAAATGGCAATGATAAAAATTAGGTGAGAAACAGATCAGCAGATTGGAACTTCCTCAGCACAGAGTCTTTGTAACAGGCTGTTGTTGGAGGGAAGAATCTGAGCTACTCGTGGAGTTCTGTCTAGGTTCGAACCCTCACTTATTACCACAAAACTCAAAAAACCGAGGCGGTTCAGGAATCTGATTTGGATGCTTCTCGACTGCCTTCTCTTGAAGGATTTTGGCTTTTGACTGGGACACCCAGGAACTTGCTGGAGGGCTTCTGTTTCGGCTTTGGTCTGGGAACACCTTGGAATCTCCAAGGAATATTGGGAAAAGGAAGATAATCAGAAACAATGTGAACCACAAAGCAGAAGTGTATCCTGTTGCTGTTTAAAGGTTCACCACTAAACCTTGGATCAAACTAGTGGAAGTAGAGAATCTGGTTGTCTTTAGCATTCATTGATATTTTTGTTTGTTTGTTTGTTTGTTTGTTGCATTGGTATTAAACTAGAGTAAAACCCAGTTTGTAAAATTAGTTTGACATTGAAATTAAAGCATTTTGTTGTTAAAATGTTTTTAGTACGTGAACCGACAGCAGAATCCAGGTTTTCAGTCCTCTGTGACAACTGTCGACACATCTGGCAAAAAGGAGCAACCTGCTGTGGTGACAGAGACCTTCCCAACACAGCTGTACCGCCACATAAAGGTACCCAACAACATCCCTAGTAGTTACATTTTACCATGCTTTGTACTGCAAAAATAAAGCACGAGTTTGTGTAAGAACAAGCTGTGTAAATTAATTTTATACACCTTTTATACACACCGAAATATGTATTTTATGCAGCTGAAGGCATTGTTTCAGATTTCTGCAGATCTGTCTGTTTCTGCAGTTGTAACCAATGTCCCACTAAAGTTCCCTCATATTCAACTGTTTTTATTCTTTGCTCATACATGAAGTATTTTTTACTTATTTTGAAAATGATCAGTCACACAGAGTTTAACATGTAGCCATCTCCTGCATTAGCGTCTGATAGTAAATAGACAGAACAACACTTGAGTCAGAAAAGCCTGACAGAAGTGCGTCACTTAAACCTCACAGACTCATCCATCATGACTCGTGATGGGGGAAGGCTGTTGTTGGTTTAGCGTCCAGAAAACGGCAGAGAACCTCTCGACAAGTAGAAGCTAATTGTTAGCATTAGCAGCTCCGATATGGCGGAACTCTTTCAGATGCTATCTGAGGAGACAGAACATCAACGCTGCAGAGAAATCAGTCGTGTTGCTGTTATCCAATAAGAGGCTAGATGTCTTAATATCAGGAAAAAGACTCCATATACTGTCGTCTGAAATGACTCTCTCCTCCGGCTGACTACGTCCTCAAGCAGGTGCACCGGAGCTTTTTTTTCCCCAGACAGCAACTTACAAGGCATTCTTTCCTACTAGAAAAGCCTGCAAATGTATTAAAGAGTAAAGATGACCTTTAAATGGATGTCTTTTAATGTGCAGTTTGGACGGAGGTCACATGTGGAATGTGCTCGTTTCTCACCTGATGGGAAGTATCTGATCACTGGAGCAGTGGATGGCTTCATCGAGGTCTGGAATTTCAACACTGGGAAAATTAGCAAGGTATAACTCTTTCCAGTCATGACACCATGTACAATTTAGAACATAATACACACTCGTGTTGCAGTTTTATGTTGGGAAGCTTATGTGTGTGTTTGCGATAAATGGTTACTGTAGGATCTGAAGTACCAGGCCCATGACAGCTTCATGATGATGGATGATGCTGTGCTCTGCTTGTGCTTGAGTCACGATTCAGATTTGCTCGCAACAGGGGCGCAGAATGGCAAAATAAAGGTTAGACTGCTTGACTTCCTTGTGAATTTTGATCATACAAACATCAAAACTCTCTGTGTTGGCATCAATGTGTTCAAAATCTCGGATTGAAATTAGCAATGATGATGTCACTCAGCCTAAGTGTTTATGTTTATTTATTTAGCAGATGCTTTTATCCAAAATGACTTACAATTTATAACCTATAGGGCATGTTGTGATGTAAGTGTGTGTGTGTGTGTGTTAATGGGAAAGGTGTGGAAGATCCAAAGCGGCTTGTGCGTGCGCAGGTTTGAGCACGCTCACAACAGAGGCGTGACCTGTCTGAGCTTTTCCAAGGATGGGAACCAGATCCTCAGTGCTTCCTTTGACCAAACCATCAGGTGAGTATCAGGCTGCAGCCTAATCTGCAACTTTGTCTGTAGTTTAGCTCCGCATGTGTGTGATTTCATATGAAAGATACCATGCATTTGGCTGTACATATATTTTCAGTTTTGAAATGTGTGGCACAGGAGTTAAGTGCTCGCCCCGAACTCGGAAGGTTGCAGGTTTGAGCCCCGCTCAGTCTGTCACTGTCGTTGTGTCCTTGGGCAAGACACTTAACCCACGTTGCCTGCTGGTGGTGGTCGGAGGGACCGGTGGCGCCAGTGCTTGGCAGCATCGCCTCTGTCAGTGCGCCCCAGGGCAGCTGTGGCTACATCGTAGCTCATCCCCACCAGTGTGTGAATGTGTGTGTGAATGGATGAATGACTGTTGCAAAGCGTCTTGAGGGGTTCCAGGACTCTAGAAGGCGCTATATCAAATACAGGCCATTTCATACCGCCGCCCAGGGCATGGAGACCCCAGCCCATCCTGCCAGGGCCCAAAGCAGCAGCATCACAGAGCCCCACAGAGCCCGAGGGAGCCGACCCAGCCCCACCCCAGCAGAATATCTATGCCCATCCCTGCATTTGCACAACTTCCAGAATATATAAGACATAAGACATCCAGGTAAGGTTGGGTCCTCCCCCTCTTGGACCTCCCCCTCCCCTGTGATGGGACAACAGAGGAGCCAGGGCCTGCCCTACGCCCCCGAACCCGGGCCAGGTACTTCTGCGTATTCCTGCCTTCTTCCCGGCAGCGTACATGTAGGGACCCGACCCCCAAGGCCCAGCCCAGATCCCCACACGGGGCCGGCCACCCCAACACCCCGAGCCCCCAGGCCCCCACCCAGACCCACCCAGGGGCAATGCAGCCGCCAGGCAGTAACCCATGGCCGCCGCCAAGACCTCCAAGGGGCCCCACTCACAACCGCCAGCAGTACACCCCCCGAGGCAACCCAAGCACCTCCAGAGGGGGGGAACAGCCCCCCAGTGCCAGACATCCCCAGTGGTCGAAATTACAAAGCATTCAAAAACAATAACAATAAAGTTTTAAATATCAAGTGCGACATTAAAAGCAGACTCTTTGATGCTCCACCTGAGACATTAAAAGCAGATGCTCTGATGCTCCACCTGAGAGTAAAACTGTAAGGCTTGTTACCAGCATTCAGACATCAATTCTGCTTGCTTCACAGCCAGACAGGACACGTTTAAAAAAAAAAAAAAAAAAAAAAAAAAAAAAAAAAAAAACAAATACAGGCCATTTACCATTTAAATTATATTCCTAAAGAGAAACCATTTTTTACTTGATTTTTTTGAAATATGATCAGTCACTGAGTTTAATAAGCAGGCTAAACATGAAAATAGTCTTCTGGTCCTGCTTTAGACGCCGATAGATACTAGACGAGGAAACACTCGGGTCAGAAAAAGCCAGTCAGGTCTATACGTCACACTGAAAATTAACATTCATCTATCTTGAATCACGGCGAGGAAGGCTATTGCTGATTTAGCATCTTAGCTAGTGGAAGCTAACCGTTAGCATTAGCAACTTCGCAGCAGAACTCCTTCAAGCTTGAGTTATTTGTGGAGATAAAACGTCAACGTTGCATTGCTGTTAGCAAATCAGAGACGAATATCAGGAAATAAAACTTCAAATTCTGCCGTTTTCTGCTCACCTCTCTTCTGGCCAACGTCTAGGTCCTGAAACAGGAGCACTAGAGCTCCCCCCCCACCACAAAGAACAACTCTCAAGGCATTAATTTATGGTAGAGACCACAACAAATGTATTGAAATAATGAGTGATTGGGAACATTAAAATATTATATCTGCCATGTTGTGTTTTTGGAGCTGGTCTGTACAAGTGAGGCTAAAAGTAAATATTAAAAATGTGAGTATTATACTCCTCAAACTGGCTTCAAAACAGGCATGGTAGTAAAAACTGAAACGTAAACAGTTTCAAAGTGTTAATCTACACCAAAATTCATCATTCCAGGAATGCTGGCCACAAATGGCCCCCCCCCCCCACACTTTGGTATGGTGGAAAAACCAACGTCTTCATTCGTGGATGCAGGAGGTTACAATAAAAGCCTCGAGAGGAATCAAGAGGTTTATGAGAAACAATTATATAAACTTATTCTTCATAATCAGTGGAAACAAGTTTGTTTTAACTGGGATCATTGTCACCAAAGTGATTTTTTCCCCTTCTAAAATGTGGGAAGTAGAGGCCGGCATATAAATTTTTTTTTAAATCGGCCATTGGATGAAATATTTTTTTAAAAGCCGATATAGAAAAAAATAAAAAAATAAAAAAATCAGGCACCTGTGCGGCCAACTGCCGCCACTACTAGACTGGAGAAAGGACCCAAAGGACCCCAACACACTGTTTATTTTTTTTTTAACGGTTTGAATTTGTTTTATATTTGAAGTTAAATAAATATTAAGAGATTTATTGACTTATTTCATTTAAATTGCACACAGTGATTGTTCAGATGTCTTTCACAATCAGTGTGCTGCCAAAACCTATAGATGTACATCGGTGTCGGTACAGGATCGGCTCGGGGTCCTTCGACTGCCGATGACGTCAAAGTAGTTGATTGGCTGAACATGAAGCTTACAGAAGTGACGTTATCACGTTATGATTTTGATTGGTCAGATCAAATTTGCGGTCGTAGTCTTAGCGGTTGTACTGCAGTCCAAAAATCAACACTTTTTGGAGAAAATATGTTTGAATTTCTAAAGGAAATGTAAAATATAAGCAATTGATAAACGGTGACCCTCAAAAGATCTTGATGTTGATGAAATGGGGCAAAATAAAATATAAGAACTTTATTGAAAGACACCAAGCTATATTTTGAGTCAAATAATGTATTTAGACACCAACTAAGGAAATATACAGACGAACACCACATTAATACAAACAGATATGGCTGACATATAAGAACTGTTCTCTTTTTTTGTCAGTCCAATGTTGGTTTTATGCAGTTTCACATTCTTTACAAAACAAAGATAATATGGTGTTTTATTAACAAATTACAATAAAAAAAACATTTAGGTGTTAACAAACAAGAATTTATTAACAAAACTGCTGATGTCTTTCCAAAACGTATGTGTGAAAGCCGAGTAGATTTGCAGTAATGTGACATCATCGGCAGTCGAAGGACCCCGAGCCGATCCTGTACCGACATCGGCCTTAATGATCGGCTTTAAATATCGGCAATTGGCAACAACATTCTCTACAAATCCGTATCGGCATCTGCCTTAAAAAAGAACATATCAGTCAGCCTCCAGTGGGAAGTGTAGCCATGGACGTAATTTTCAATTTAGAAGTGTGTGTGTGTGTGTGTGGGGGGGGGGGGGGGGGGGGGGGGGGGGCTTTACGGGATTCTCTAATGGGAAACAGGCTTCAACACAAACGGTTGTTTTCCGCTTGGTCCTAGAGTTCAACCAGTGTCAATTTAATATAGCGTAATATTGTTTTTGGATGGTAAAAAGTGCAGGGGTCAAAACTTGACTTTGGAAAAATGTTCCCCCCCAAATGACGTCCATGAGTGTAGCCCATATGTGTATTATATATACAAATACACATTCATAAGAAACGGCAAATGTTAAATGAGTTACGAAATACACAATTAGCTGTAATTAATTATCTTAGAGGAGTTCATTCATGCTCCGCTGTAAATTTTCCTACAGAGAAGAGCGTCTCCTCACCTTCTGTATATTTTGCACACAGACTGAATCCCCTCTGCTTCGAGGGGGTTGAATGTTATCTCTGACTTCTGGGAAGGGGGTGTGGGCTGAGCCTCTGCTGGTTTGGAGGCACATGGGCTTGTGTGGGTGCAGCTGAAGTACCATGTGATAAGGCACAAAGCTGCAACGTGATCCTCTACCCGCAGCTCCTCAAGAACAGAAAATTCTTTACAAACATTAAATCCTCCAGGAGACGGATGTTTTGTCATGGTTTAGTGTATCTGCACCAAGTCATTCACTGGGAGCTAAAAATAACACAGCAGCAGCAACGCGTTTTGCCTGGAGACGATTCCTCGGTCACGCAGAAGGTTGCTGAAACGAGCCGCTGCTGCAGCTTTGTTGGCTCTAGAGTTTTTATGTCAATAATCTCATTTTCAGAATCCACGAATTGAAGTCAGGGAAGACACTGAAGGTGTTAAATGGCCATTCATCATTTGTAAATGATGCTTCGTTCACTCGAGATGGTTTCTACATCATCAGCGCCTCTTCTGATGGAACTGTTAAGGTGAAATAAGCACAAACAACACGGAACTTCATAATCCTGGGACAAGGCTATCCAGTGATGCACTTAAACCTGCAAAATGACATCTTGATTGTCTCATTTTTAGATCTGGAACATGAAATCTTGTCAATGCATTCACACTTTCGGATGCCCGTCGCTGACATCAGACGTCACGATCAACAACGTGATGGCTCTTCCTCAAAATCCAGAGCACTTTGTGGTTTGTAACCACTCCAACACGCTGGTCATCATGAGCCTGCACGGCCAGGTGAGCGCTCTGCTTTTTTAAACACATTTTAAAATGAAGAATACATTTGTTTTAAGACGCCGTAAAGTTTCATTGTTGCCTATTTTGTTGTCATACAAGTCTTTGCTTGACTAAAAGCAAAAAGCGAACATCAGTAGTTATCATGTTACGTCCAAAGAAACCTCAAGATCTTTGATTCTTCAAGGCTAAGCAGCTTGTGTTTGGTGTTTCCCAGTCTTAACAAAGTTTTTACTACAGGTCTGATTAGATTGTCAACTAATGTCATGTGCAGAAGTTTAAAAAGAAAAGAAAATGGGTGATATTCAGATTTTTTCCAGCAGGTTGTAGAAATAAATTGTGGGACTTTAATCATGTCAAACTTGGAGCTCAAATGAGCAATTTTTCAGTGAAAAATAAGCCAGAGGAAGTTGCCGAGGTGGCATATTAAACAGGATTAAACGCGTTATTGGGACAGGAGTCAAAACTCTAAAGATAAAAATGAAAACAAATTTTTTTCTGACAAATTGTAGACATTTATCAACCTAGAGTGTCAAGCATTTGTAAAATACATTGTCAGCTTAAGGACACCACTAAGCTCAACATTTTAAAATTAGCAGGACAAGCACAAAGCGATGGGAAAACTTGGTATAGTACAGAATTGTGTGTGTTTAAGAACTGGAGTGACCGATAAATGCAGTTAATGCTGCCCTAATTATTTAGGCACACTTAGCATTTAGCATGCCTTTAGCACCCCCTAGTGTCCCATATTAATCTTTGTGGCTAAACCACAGATGAAACTTATCTCCTCACTGTGCGTTCGTCTTTAACATCTTAACCAAGCAGCCGAAACGTCTCCCCAGCCTTCATTAGTGTCTACAGGAGGGACTCATCACTAAATGAAACAAATCAGCTGTGTTCACGATCTAAAAGATGCAGGAAAAGTGCTGGAAGCAGATTGCACCGCCAGGCATGTCAGCTCTATTTTCTCCACAAGTGGCACCCCACCACTCTGAAGTTGCAAGTGCAATATTCTGGTCGCAGAGGGCAGTTGGGGTCTGAGTGACATTTCATTAACATTGTAAAGGGTTATTTTAGCACATACTGGCTCATAGCATCCCTTTAAAATGTTTGTTATGGTTAAAACTGATGCTGCCGCCTTATTAGCTGGATGCTTATTTAGAGAAATTAATAGATGTAACTATGATTTCAAATGCAAACTTTATTTTCCGTCCTGCTCCTCAGACTGTGAAGACTTTGAGTTCCGATTCAGCAGAAGGAGCCGGTTTTGTGTGCTGCACCCTGTCGCCCCGCGGGGAGTGGATCTACTGTGTGGGAGAGGACTCTGTGTTATACTGCTTCAGCTACACAACAGGACAGCTGGAGAAAACGCTGACTGTAAGCCCTGCTGCTAACGCACAATAATTATCCTTCAAAAGAAGCTCTCCATGTTTTCCATCCTCTCATTTTGTTGCCTCACTGTGGAGATGAAGGGCTGGGGGGGGGGGGGGGTGGGGGGGGGGGGGGGTGGCGGCTGAGGTGGAGTAATTTGTGTTCCTCTGAACCCACAGGTTCACGAGAAAGGCGTGATTGGCATCGCTCACCACCCACATGAGAACCTGATTGCCACGTACAGCGAGGACGGCCTGTTGAGACTTTGGAAACCGTAGACATCCATCTGCACGGCAGCTGTTTGTTCTGTTGGCATAAATGGTTCTTCCAAAGCAGTTTTTACAAGAAGACAGTCTCCAAAGTGTCACCAAGAGTTAAACAATCTCACTGATGGTGGAATCTCATTTTAAAACGAGACGTTGTAGCTGATGGTTTGTTTTAAAATGATTCCTGAGAGGATTAAAAATATATATATATACAAATATATATATATATATATATGGAACACTGAAAAGCTATTTTTTAACTCATTTCAGATTATAATCGGTCACTTTCTTATGTTACCCCCTCCTTCACATTTTAACATCTCCTGTCGGGGACGTAACATAAATTGGGGCTCGTCCGGGATCATCAAACAAAGACGCATTGGGATCACTCAGAGTTAAAACTTTTTAAGTTAAAACTCTTCAACTCGAAGGGGTTGAAAACAAAATGAGGCCTGGAGGACAGCAGAACCCCTCCACTGCTGAAGGCGCAGCCTTTTTATCCAGTTGTTGGTTTTCAGCAGGATTCAGCTCAGCTGTGCTCCTCAGCCTGGAAGAGAGGAGGAGGAGGAGGGGCAGTGTCAGGCTGATCACCGGGGCTGCGTGATCCTGGCTCCTGAATCTCACTGGCCAGGCTGGTAGCCGTAACACTCCTGCATTTACTTTTGATAGGAAATAGACGGTGAAACTCCTGACAGATTTACGCCGCACTGTCTCTTGACATTCATGGACTCACCCATCTTGACTCGCAATGGGGAGGATGTTGTTGGTTTTGCTTCCATGAAACAGAACGTCTCGGCTAGTAGATACTAACCATTAGCATTAGCAACTCCTCCACACGGCAGAACTCCTTCAAACTTGTGTTATTTGTGGAGATGAAACATCAACATTGCAAGTCAGTGGTAGAGTTGCGTTGTTATCCAATCCCAAGCAAGATGTTCAAATATCAGGAAATGAGACTAAAACCTGTCGTCTGAAACTACTCTCTCCTCCTCTCTCTCCTCCGGCTGATTCTTCATCCTCAAACAGGTGCACCAGAGCTTTTTTCCCCCCAGACAATGACGTCCAAGGCATTCATTCCTACCAGAGACCACTGCAAATCTATTCATTAAATGAGCGTTCCACACCTTTAGTTTCCCACTTCCTATTTTTCCTCTTGTAAATAGAAAGATGGATTCTAAATGGGTTTTGTAAGTTCTAATAATTTTCATGTGAATAATTTTTAACACAGCCAGGTTCTTCCACAGGTTTCCGTAGTTCTCTTTGAATCCTACAAATTCATCTCCATCATTACCAGACATGAAGATGCATGATGGTGAACTGTTGTGATAATATTTATTATAACTTGCCTCATGTCGGAGCCTATACAGAGAGTATCTGTGATGCTTGACTGGCTTTTACAACTACTTGTTTGATAATGCACTGTTGGCTCCCTGCATGCTACCTCAGTGCACTGCCTAAACGTGGCTCTGCACTAATTCTATATGCATGATAATAAACGGTGGAGCTTCAGTGACTCATTCTGTGTGTAAACAATGTTTAATGTCATCTTTTTATTGTAAATTATACTTTTGTCTATTTGTAGGACAAAAAAATGCAGACTCCTGTCCTCAACCAGTAATTGTTATTTGCACTAATGTAAAATCATTGCACTCAATTTGAATATGTTTATTATAGTTTATTTTTTACTGTCTGGGCAATATTGATAAGCAATAAACAAAATACCTACAATTAGTTTTTTTCTTCTCTCTAATTATTTACTTTGTAACCTCTGCCATAAAAAGGCTGAAGGGGAACTAGGCAGTTTGGCATACAGCACCCCCTAGTGTCTGTTTGTAGAACTGAAAACAAAACATATCAAATCACCGTACAGTCAGGATTTGAATTACCGGGGAGCCAGGCCTCCCTGAAAGGGTGATGGGCTCCCCTGGAAGCCCTCAACTGATGCACCCAGGGGGAGCCTGAAAGATTATCCTGTGTCTCCCCCCCCATGTTATAACGAAGGTGATCGAACGTTACGCACCAACCCAACATAACAGCCAGAGATGACTCTCCACTGCACACGTGACAAGCCCTGTTAAACTGAAGAGCAGGTTTTACAGGCAGCAGCACACCAAGCCCAGGTGCAGGGGCGGTCCTAGACCGTTTGGTGCCCTAGGCAGCTGCCTAGTTTGCCTGTAGAATGGGCCGCCACGGCCCAGGTGCATCCCTGCAGCAAAAGAGAGAGAAACAGAATAACCAAGCACAACTGAAACACTAGTAAAAATCCAAGAGACAGTGCGTCAGAGAACGCAAAAAAATGTTTTACATTCAAGCACGTCATACCTTTCTCTGCCACACGAGGGAACTGTTCTGCATGGTCATGTGGTCAAGAGTCTTTTCATGGCTTAAAATAGAACTTAATGCTAATGTTACGCCTGCCAGGTTCCAGTTCCCTCTTCTTGGACAGTTCCACCTTATCCTCTGATTCCCTCCTGTGCTGTATTACACTTCTGCACCATGGACAGCAGCCGGTTTGGTTCATCCTTCCTATAGCAGCCTCAAACCACCCCAGCTGTGGCCTTTTTGCTGACGACAGGAACCAGGATAAAAACCAGCTGCTGCTAGTGGTTCGAGGGACAACAGATCTGGTTTTCAGGTTGTCCGCTTGAACATTTGGCTGTGTGCCTTCTGCAAGAGACTGGCTGAGAGTAATTTATAATAAAGTTTTGGTTTTGATAGGCGTTTTTGTCACCTTTTTGGTAAAACAGCTGATTTCAGCTGGGATTTTGGGAGGAAGGAGACTTAAATTGATGGTTTTGTTTGGAAACTGTTATGGGTTGCAGTTCCCTTTACAGGGCGCTTTTGGTTTATCTCCGTTAAATTACATTTGTTTTCTTAGTGGTACATTTTCTCAATGAAGAGAGCTTTTCCGTTATTCTCCACTACCTTTGTTGTTTAAACTTTGATACTTTAGTAGATAAGCAGTCCTCTTCCTGCTAAACCCTGTCCTGGTAATAAAACACATTTTGTTCATAACTTCCAACCCCATGCCAGCGACTTATGCCAACCCCCTTTCACTCTCACCATCAACAAGGGTTGTAACAGCTAAAATATACTAGAAATGAAGACTTCCAATGCCCCCCCCCCCCCCCCCCCCCCCCCCCCCCCCCCAAAAAAGGCAAACCTGACTTTTCTTAACATTTCTTCAGGTGAGATAAAAAACTGAAATTTTAAAGTGATTCTAAACTAGACTGTTTAGCATCTAATTGCCAGTAATTTCTTGTGTAAACATATTTTCCAGTGCCAGAGCCAGATCAGGAGCGAGATGTGGCAGATTTAGTAATTGGGGAGCCCAAGGCGAACACAGACATGGGGCCCCTTACACTAAATTTTCGACAATCTTATCTTTAACTGGATTTGCGAAACACTACCCTCTTCTGCAGCGCCGGCGCTCCGCACACGCACACCACACACAGCGCGTAGGGCACCACGCCGGGGGAGGGGCACCAAACGCAAGCTTATGAAAAAAATTATATATATATGATAAAGACAGATTTCAATTAGAAGACGTGCAAAGCAAGTTAACAGCATGTTTACAGAGAGAAAACAATACAAAATGGAAAGGAGATGGACCGTATCAACAAATAAGTCTGAACAGTGTTAAAGGTTGTTCATCTAAAAAATAGACCTTGAAGAGTTTGAAGATTTTTTTATTTTAATAAGTTAATCTTAAAACATCTTTCTCAAGTAAAATAAAGTTTCCTCTGTGAGGTCAGATAGGCCCATCTGTGCTGTTTTGAAACAGAAATGAACAAATGAATCATATTTGTCCACCCAAATACTTAAATATCACAACAACAGGAAGGACAAAAACACCGTCAAGGTAAAGTAAGAAATTTTATTTTTAAATAAGCGGCTGTTTGTGATTAATCATGAGTTAACTATGGACATGATTTATATCATTATTAAATAGCCCATGTGGCCTATAGGCTATGTAACTGAGATTTAATATGAAAAATTAGACAAACCTATTTTCTAATTAGGTATTTACTCCATGTTAATATATATATTTCATAAACATTTACGGGCCAAGAGGAACATCAGCTGCTGATGGTATAATTTGAAGAAAAAAGTCCGTTATGCTAACCTCCTCCCTTCATATCCAGAATTTTCTAGTTGTGTATAAAATGTGTATATTGTGCCTCTCTAGTTCTTAATAAAGGTTAGTTTTGAATTTAGTCATGTCACATGCCAGTGATTTATAAGCCAATATAAACCTATAAATAATCTATTGCTGTATTTTTTTTACCATGGCTTAAAACTTTTATCTTATTATAGAATGAATATGACAAATGATCTTTTTGTGTCTGAATGCAGGCTCAATGAACAAGTACATTCAAGGAGGAGCTCAAGCCAAAAGTTCAGATCAGCCATCCACCAGCAGTTCAAGAGCTCAAGATCAGTTGTCAGCCATCACGTCTGAACCTTCTTCAACATCACCCAGCCCTGACCAGGATACAGACCGAGCACAGCCCACAGCCAGCGCTTCTGAAGGCAGAGTGAGTCCTGGCTCTGAAAAAGCATCTGAAAATTACATTGGAGAAACACATGTGCCACAACCGGTGCTTGTGGTGTGTGGATCTGTTACATAGTTCTAAATAATAACAATATGGAGTGCCTGTGTTGAGTATGTTATATTATGTAAATATCAATCCTACTTTTTGGAAATAATAAGCAGTTTGTGCATACAGGTGAATTAAAGAGAATTTAAGGTGAAGTGCTCGCGCATACTGTGGTATTGTGTTGTTTTTTCTGTGTGTGTGTGTGTGTGGGGGGGGGGGGGGGCACCACGAAGCCTTTGTGCTTAGGGCACCAAAATGGCTAGCAACGGCCCTGCTCTTCTGCCATGAGTTACTTTCTTTTTTTGTCAGTCCTCCTCTTTTTTCCTGTCTTTCTCTCCCTTTGAGCGTGTTCAATATTTGCTCTGCTTTCTTCTTCCTGTCAGTGCTCCTGTGCTTTTGCCTTTTTTCCTTCTTGTTTTACATTTTGGCATACCTGTATGTGTTTTTCTCCCTTCAAACATTTTCCATTGTCTTTCCTTTCCTGCTTCCTTTTGATGTTTACATTGAAAAATGACGTCACTTTTGGAAGTGAAGATAAAAGCTTTTTTAAAGCAAGCTGCTTCTCTTTTTGGAGCCACTAGGATAACTCCATTTCATGCTTAAAGAGCAAGTCACCATCTACCAGAGTCTTACTCCACTCCCACTTCATGCTTGAAAAATGCAACAAAAGATGTTGCCTGGTAGATCGAGAGGGCGGAACCGCTAACAAATACACACACAGGCTCACAACAACATTGTGACATCATAATGTACCATCTAATGTCACTGTGTACTTCTTAGCCAATAGCGATGGCAGATTTAAATTCAAATGTAGTGCAGAGTTTTTACCTGACGACGGCTCAACGCTGACAGTTTTAGGTAGGATATTTAAATTTTAACTAAAATGCACTAAAGTGCCAAATTATTGACTGCATGTGTCTGCAGCATGATTAGACACACATTTATATAGTTTATCATCAAAAAATACTTGGTTTGGGGGTGACTTGCTCTTTAATGTTTTGTCTACTGCTTCGAATGTTTCGAGTGCTCGCGCCTCTCTTCTTCTTCTGCTTTCTCTTCTTATTTGTGGTCTAATGGCACTTGGCAAACAACAATTTGGTGCATTACTGCCACCAACTGGTTTGGAGTGGAATGACTACCAATCACTTCCTGTTTGTGCATCGGCGTCTTAAAGGAATAATCCATTGTGGCATTAACAAAGGGGTACTAGCAGTCAGGGCTAGGAAATAGATATTTTATGGCAGGTAACTTATTCCAGTTAATTTACATATGTGGGATGGCTTCCCATATATTTATTTATGCTTCACATGAGAATCTTACCTTAAAAGAACCTTAAAATCTTAAGTTGAAAAAAGGTTTTCTGGTAAATTATCCTACAAATAAATAAAAATCTCACAAATGTAATAAGACACCAAATGACATTTATTAAGAAAACATAACCACACACATTCTTGGTCCAAGCTTTGTTCAGGTTTAAAGCCTCCTCCAGAAACTGCCGTTCAGCTCTTCCACCTGCTGAACCGAGTGAGTGTGCTTTCAAGGAGCATGGATCTGCTGAAGGAGCTCCTCGTCTGCCAGCATGACTTCGTTTCACATTATGCAACGTATTAATAAACACCACTTAAAAGAAAACAGCAATATAAAATTACTTCAAGTGAAGTTATGATAAGGCTTTGAAACAGGCGGGCCTCTTCGATGAGGCATCAGGGTTTCCGATTTTAAATCCCTCTATAACCTCTCGTGTTCCATCCGGTATTCACAAAAGGAACATAAAAACACAGAATTAGCAGCTTGTGCTGGAAAAACAAACATCCAAATGTGTGAAGATCGGTCACCTCAATTCCAGATTTGTGTTTTAAGACTTTTTCTGATTTTACGTAAACATCCCGAAACGACGAGCTAGGGTTTATCTTACAGCGCGAGCACAACTTGGCACTTTTACGACTCTGGCATCTTTACAAACACGTGATAGAACAGCAGCATTCAGACCGTTCGGTGTCCTGAAAACATCAGGGCCTTATTAAATAAATGCTATTTATAATTCATTGACATAACTAGACATTTAAAACAACTAACTTGTCTGTACATCTGGTGTAACACTTGAATTTGGAAGGATATTAAAGAAAAAGTGAATATTAGTTTAAATTTTCTACAAATTGATGGGATTTTTCATCCGTCCACATCTTCGTCACATTTTCACGATTGTGTAGAAATGTTTTAGAAGTTAGCCCTTGAAAGGGTAAGCCAGCGTTAAGTTTTGATGCACACCTCCCTCCATCTGAACTTTGGATCCTTACACAACAGCCTGGAAGAGCCGTCTACAACCGCCGACTCTGTAACACTCTATATTAACAAAAACGGTTATTTTCATATTAATATTGGCATCAGCCATAGTGTTAGTGCTTTCAAGCAGGAAGTCAATACGTTTATGTTTCCTCTCTGACCCAAGCCTCGCCTTTATTCACAGTGCAAATAAAAAAAAAGTTAAAAGATCAAATCTGATCCCAGAAAACAGAAAGAAACCCCCAATGTTCTAGAACTTGAGAAATACTATGAATAAAGAGGGATCTGGAACATCATTGTAGGATTCTGCTTGAAAGGAATGTTATATCTATGAAAAGCAACAGGGTGGAAAAAGTGCACTGATTTCCAACAAGGTGCATCGCATCAGAAGTAAGGACGCTGGACCAGGCAGAGGCTGAGCTTCGCTTTAGGACGTGTGGCACTGAACGCCACCGGTGCTGGCGTAGTCGTCCTCATTCATGTAGTAATACTGATGTCTGTGTCTCTTCCTGCTCTCTAAGTCACAGTCCTCCAGGTCTGCGTAGATGTAGAGGTCCTCGTCCATGCTCTCTGGCTGCTCCGCGTCCGTCTTTCCAGGGAGGTAGCGCGCCAGCTCCCTCAGCTTGTGCTTGGACAGGAAGTTGGCAGGTGGGAACACCACCTATGAATCATGAAATTCATACCAGAACTATTGTTACACCCCAGTGCAGCAGTACACCTATACGACCATGTGCATGAATCAAGTTCTACTGATTTTACTGTTAAATTTAGGAAACTGGAGACGTGTTCTTACAGAGAAGTTGATAATAAGACGTCCTTTCTCAAACGGCCTGCGGTACGTGGGCATCCCTTCATTCAGCACACATTTGGTGTCTCCAGGCTTGATCAGTTCCCCTGATGGTGAAAACAAGAGGAGGTGACGTTTGGTACGATAAACCTGAGATCCTTCTAGTGCTCGTGTCTCCACACTGAGTTCAGATGTGTTACACAAACAAGTTAAAAAGCAACAAACAGATCAACTCTTTACATTACCGACTTGTTTTACCTGGATGTGACGTGACTAGGAGAGTTCTGTTGTCCAGTGTCTGAACGGGTCGTTTGAACCCACACAAGGCCTCAACTAGCTGCAGCTCCATAGACATGAACAGGTCTTGTCCTCTTCTGGTGCCGCCATGAAGAACAGGGTCAACATAAACATGTTTCTTTAACCAGACAGATGTTTAAAACAACTGAGTGATTTTCTTACCTGGTGAAAAACGTATGTTCCTGCAGGTCAATGACGATGATGATGTCACCTGGTTCAAGTCCTGGCTCCTGGTCTCCTTCGCCGTGGAAAACGATCTTCTGGCCGTCTTTCATTCCTGCGACAATCAAGCCACGAGGTCACGCGTCTGTGATAAACGTGCAGACAGAAAGTGGTGCGGTGTTCTTCACCTTTGTCAATGTGGACATCCATGATCTTCTTCTGTCGCAGCATCTTTCGGCCTCCGCAGGTTTTGCAGCGGTCCTTCTGGTTGAACCTCTGTCCCTGTCCTTGGCAGCTGTGGCACACGGTGGACATCTGCTGCACCATACCTGGAAGTAACTGGTGCATTCGCACCTGCATTCCTGTGCCGTGGCAGGACATGCACATCTGTAAAGCTCCTTTGCGACTTCCACGACCTGTGAGGAGGAGGGGAATCAAAAGGTCTAAAACAAGACTAAAACTTTAATCTCTCCACAGATGACCGAGGTATAAGCACAGCAGAACCGACTCTCTTTAAATAGGATGTTCACATTATTCTAATCACTGAATTATCTGATTACAGACGGATTCCATCTCAGGTGAACCGAGTAAAATCCAGTGGATTACTCAGACTTCTTTCAGGTGTTTTCACCTTAAAGCAACACTAAAGAGCTTTAACATCTTAAGCTATTTCTCTCAACGTGGTTTCAGAGGCTCTTACGGTAGAACCTTTACAAACTTCAGACTGCACAGCACTCCACATGCCTGAACAGACCAGAAACCACACTCAACAGTTTTGGGGCAGGAGGTTCACAAGGTGGAGCTATCCACCTGCTTTACGGATGTTATGGGCCATTCCCATCTGTACCGGGTCGGCCCGGGCCGGGTAGCGTAGGTTGTTTACATATCTGGGTGGCCTGGTATTTTTCCGGGCCAACCAAGGCTCATTCTCAGCCCTCTTCTCGAGGGGGTCTGCTTCAGGCCGACCAGGGCCAACACACCCACTGCTGACAGCAAATTCACACCTTCCATTAGAGCAAGCCTCTGATTGGTGGGTAGAATCAGCCCACATGGGCTTAAGGCAAGGATGTGTGGAATCAACCGGGCCAGGCTGGGGCCGTCTGGGGCTACCCGGCCCGGGCCGACCCGGTACAGATGGGAATGGCCCAATAGTCTTTTACTCTGC